CGGAAGAAGAGACATCCCATCCCTCGACATCCATACTAATAATAGGGGGGTTCGTGGCTCTTAGAAAAGAGTTAGGCAGGAAAGTTAGTTAGAGGGTTTCGGGTCTGCCTATAAAAACACTGAGGTCATCCTATCCTAGAAGAGGTCTGCCCTAATCTGCCCACAATTAAGCAAGCCAGAAGGCATTTTTTTAAAACTCATACAAAGAAACAAGTAGGCAGAGAATTAGGTACCAATTTAAGCCAGTCACTCGCACCTTCACAATGAAGACCCCAACGACCTTCAACTCACCTGAGCCTCATTATACCATCATTATAATATGATGCATATGCACAGAAGTTCATTAATATCATTATAACATACTGAATTCTGGGAACAAACATGCACAGAAAGCAAATGATGAATCACTGAGTCCTGTCAATCTTAGTTGTCAATCAAGGAAGCCCACCCCTCTAAGAAAAGTAACCACCCACAGCAAAAAAGAGATAAAAACCCTGAAGTCTTTGTTACTAGGCCTTTCGAGCCAGCTTCTCTTGCTCAGGCCGCTTCCACATCTGGTAGTGTACTTTCCCTTTTAATAAAGCTTTCCTTTTCTACTGTTATTTCGGTGTCTTCTTGCTCAGATCTTTGTTCGAGATATCAAGAATCTGGACAACGCACCGAGGGAGAATACTCACTTTCCGGTAACAGAATCAGTTCTCTGTAAGGTTTTAGGAATATAACCGAGTCCCCCAGTGCACCCTGCAGTCTTTGCCAAGTTCTTTTACCCTCTCCAGCCTCCCCCATACCCCGTACTCCCCCTTCTCTCTCCCCTTGCTTGGGAAGGGGAGGGAGGCTTTCCTCCTCCAAATCCACCAGATTTTGAGAATTTCCACTCTGCCCTCAGAATTGTTCTAGACTTGCTCACAAACAGGTTCGAAACTTCTTTTGTGTCCTTTCTATGACCACGGTGGTTGCGGTTGCAGGCAAATCTAGAGGTCCTAGGACTGGGGCCTTGTGGGGGTGGGGGGCTATGAAAAGGTATTTTGTCTCAATGAACTCAGTGGGTAGAAAAATACTTAAAACAATACTTGGACAATTGCCAGGAGGCTGACTGTTTTCCAGCTCAGACAGGAGAGGAATTTGGGGACAGAGAGACCTGCATATGAAATTCCTGTGGGTGCTGTTTTATAGGAAACAAAGTCCATTACCTCAGGGCAGAACATGGCCATGCCTTCCTCCCAAGGGACCAGCCCTTTTTTTTTTAGCCCAATCCATGACCAGAAACAACACAAGTATATAGTGCATGTGTGTCCTTGTGGTAATGATACAGGACTGGCAAATTTCCCAAGTGACAGGGAGACCAAGCCCTGTACCAAGAGAAGAAGAAGGTCTTTTGGCAGAGAGCGAAAAAGAATTCGACACATACACCAGAGTTAAGGTCAAAAGGAAAGTTTATTAGAAAAGCGGTAACACTCCACAGAGTGTGGTCTCCTCTCAGAGGGTCCAAGAGAGGCTTGGAAAGATAGTGAGCAGAGAGGGGCTGAGTGTTCAGGGAATTCAGTTTACATATCATTCTTTAGTTCCTGTGAGTTCCATTTCCTTTGATATGGACAGACAGTGAGGATGGGAAAGGGTATGTAGCGTGAAAGGGTAAGAATATGTAGAGTGAAAAGCCTGCTGGCAGTTTCTAGCCTTTAATCCATAGGTTCCCCATGATTTTACCATAGGGAATGACTCTTGCAAAGTTCCTGTTTCCCTTTCACAGGTGTGGGAAATGGGCTGTTAACCCCAGCAGAACTCTGCCTTTGTTCTGAAGGCGTCCTCCTGGCCTAGCTGCAGGGCTGATCTGCATATTGCAGTCTCTGATTGTGGCTTGATTATCATTTTTAATTCTCTTGCCTCCTCCCTACATTAGTAAGGTAATCAGAAAAGCTTAGACTTTGGAATCAGACATGTTTAGACTTGAGTATTCACCCTTAGACTTTGGAATCAGACATGTTTAGACTTGAGTATTCACCCTGCTGCTTCCTATGTTTCCTTGGATAATATACTCAATATTTGTAAACTTCAGTTTCTTCATCTGAAAGATAAGGATGATAATATTTATCTTTTTGGCCTGTTGTGAGAATCTAAGAATAACGATAGGAATTCAATAGGCAGTGGCTATTTTATAGCATTTTTGGAGAAAGAGAAGATGTGATTAGCACATGTGTCATCTTTGTAAAATGTAACTGTCTTTAAACAACTTCCCTATGTTATAGCAATGAGACACCTTTTGGAAGTTTGGTTTTCCAATTCTGCAAATTGGAATGCCCACAGCACATAACTTCAAAGCTTTCATAAGGAAGACATGCTTAGCATAGTGCTGGCACATAGTAGGGACTCCCTCAAAGAAAGAGATTCTCGTTGAAACTCTACCTCTTTAAGACCACACTCCTCACACATTCCTCAAAGTTAGGAGGCTGGAGAGCTTCCTGCTCTGCGAAATAGCCAGTGACCCAGGGCAACTGACTTCCTCTCTATGGCCTCAGGGAATGGTCTCTGCAGAGGCATCTAGCCTGAGAATTCTACACTTCCTGGCAGTGTAAATGACCCTGGGCAAGTCGCTTAGCTTCTGGGTGCCTTGGTTTCCTCGGGATGGTAATAACAGCATCCACTTTGAAGAGCTGCTGTATTGATTAAATGGCTTCACAGAGCACTAAGAGCAGTGCCTGTAAATGCTGTGTGAGTATTTGCTCCATTATTAGAAGATATACCGATACTGCAAGGTGGATCCCAAAGGCTCTTCCAGCCATGAAATTCTGTGTTCCCGGCTCTTTGGGGCCCTCTTCAGGTAGGAGAGGAGGAAGGGAAAAGCCAGAGGGGCAGGAGCTTTAAAGAGAATTTCATGACTCCCCTCCTCTCCCTCCATCTGTCTTATTCCAGGATTTTCTGGGTTTTCTGTACAGCTAGAACTGTGTACTCTCTTTACAGTGAGAGGATGGCTAACAGATAAATGGGCAAGCTGTGTGAATGCAATAAACTTAATAGATTGCTAAGTACTTTGAAAGGCCAAGTGGGTTTTTGGAAGCTATTACAAGGCTAAAGGAGCTGCCTCCATGAGCTGTGGATGTAGGTGTCCTGGCATCAGCTTGGAAAGGACCTGTCATCACTTGCTCCATGGGTAGAAGCTCACACGGCCTTCAAGACAAACAGACAGCTTTGGGGCAGCTCTTCAGGCAACTGCAAAACTGCCGGGAGATGAGAGCTGAAAATAACCATGG